GGTGATGGACATATTTCTGATCATAGCTTTGACCTGCGGCAAAGTCCTCGCGGCAACGCGTCGTCGGCGAAACGCAAGTTTGTGAGCCTTGATGCATCAGTCGCTACCAGCTGAAATCCAGATCTCGCTGTGCGTCACTTTGCCTCGACCTGCCGCGCGATGTCTTCAAGGGGGCCATTGCAAATGAGCGAGCTCAGCGGACCCCCTTGCTTCGCGCCCCGCTCGACGCTGAAGCTCCGGCTGAAAGTGGCCGTTTTGATTTTCACCGTCTGACGCGCATGCAGCTTTTTCAATATACTGACGCAAGCGACTGGCGCGCTCTGCTCATGCATTGCGTTCCAAATCGCCTGATGTTCCAACGAATCAAAGGCCTTCTGTTAAACAAAAGCTGCAAACCAAAGCGGCACTTTAAATTCGCCGGCCATCTCTTGCAACGTCGCCATGGTACATAGATTATCGCCCGTTGAATAGCCAAGTCTGAACCCCGCTTGGCCCGGGCTCTGGCCTGTCTCCACCATAGGCAACAATCGGTTATATAATGAACGTGAAACACTTTATACAGCATCGGAACGACAGAGATGGGCCGATAATTGTTCGGAAGACGTCCATCTCAAGATTTATGAAGCACCTTGATGGCAGAGTGCCTCCATGATTCTGGCGGCAGGGCGCCCGGGCTGATCACCTCGCTGCACGAGTCCGTCAACGCGCCCAGCACCTCGTCGCCAGCGTCGAGAAACATCTCGGCCACTACACCAGCGCAGTCAGCACGCAAGTTGCGCTCGAGCTGCTCGATCGCCTCCAATACTTCCTCTCGGGTGAAAGCGCCCACCCTGCAATGCGGACGCCGCGCAGCAAGCGGAGTAATGAGCTCAGCATGACGGCGTGCACTGTATAACTCTTCGTAGAATGCAGCAACAACGCCAGCCACGCCCCCCCCCCCCCCCCCTTCGCCACCTGCTCGTTCTTCTACAACCTCCACGGCAGCAGCGCGCTTCGCAACTGGGCCCTGGCACGCGGAATCCTTTCCAAGCCAGAAAACTCACTGAGAGCTCGCTCGATTCGGAGGGTCGCCTCTTTTTTGCGGACCTGTTTGATTCTATCATGGGTTGCTTTACTCAACGCTGCTCGCACGAGCGCGTCCCCCGCTTTCCAAGGAACGTCTCTGCTGGACCGAGTCAGCAATGAGACTGCGCAGTTGCATGAATCGAAGCGCATCTGCGCCGCCGGCGCGCATCGCGTTCTCTGCGGCGGCGTCGAAGAACCTCGCTCAAGCTTCCCCGAGCGAGTCGACGCGTCTGCGCCCAAGTGCATCTCCCCAATCTTCTTTTAAGAGTAGAAGAATAGCCATCACGGTCTACCAACTCCTAAGGCACACTCCGGGACCCGCGCTTGAACTTGGCACTAATGTTGCCCAGGGCGGGCTTGGCGAGAAACTGCGCCGCCCGGCGGTCGGATCCCGAATCAATTTCCGAAATGCTCGCGAAATCGCACTCCCGTTTCCAAACTTGCCGGCCCACCAATATACAATCAATTTGCCTGGGCCCCTCGCCGCCGCCTTCGCGGGCCCCCACCCCCATGGCGGCCCCGAGAAAGACGCGCTCGCCACCGCGAGGTTCTTCAAGAAAGCCCACTGCTTCAGCCATTGCCCTCGCGCGCTCCCCCGGCCCAGCCCGCGCCCCCCGATCGCGTCGTCGCCGTCGGAGTCCACGCGGCCCCCGAACCCAGCATTGAAAACGCCGCCCAATATAAATCTCAGACGCGCGCGTTTGGAATCCCCCCGCGGGCGCGACAGCGCGCGACGCGCGGTCTGGGCGCGGTCGCCGCCGCGACCTGGGCGAGGAAAATAACCTGCAAAAAATGCGAAAGGAGCGCCATGCATTCTCACATCAGCGCGAATCAGACGCTCGGATGCAACAGCAAATTTGAACACTGCGCCAGACCATCGCTTGCGCGTCAAAATCGCAGACCCCCGGCCATTGCGATCACGCCCCGTTCCGGCGAAAATGCGGCCCTCGGAGGTCTCGAAAAACACTCGCTCGCGAGCTCTCCAAATTTCGCCCAGCATCACAATGCCCCAAGGTACGTCACGCAATTCCAAAAGTAATTCCGAAAATGCGTCTTCATTCGTCAGGCTGCGAACGTTTCTATGATATGTATATAGGACTTTGCTCTCTGTCGCATCGCCCGCCCTGCTCGCCGCCGCGCGCCCCTTCAAAGAAGGGGCCGGGATGTGTACTCGACAGGGACATCCCCGCAAGCATCGCAATACTTTCCTTCCAGCGTTGACTTCGAAAACGCTTGAACTGCATGAAACCGTTCTCGTGCTGGTAGGTGTCCTCCTTCCTCTCCGTCTCCTCTCCTGTTCTCAGGTCCGTTCTGCATGGCGTCGCAAGGTCACTCGCTCTCGGCACTCGGGTCGCGTGAATTCTTCCTCCGCCATTTCTGCATAGATGCATACACGTCTGCCTGCGCTGTCTTGGCAGATGCCGAGGTGCGCAAC